AATTGCCTGAGACTGACGCTCTCCTAGAAATACTTGGGCATGCGTTTCAGGTGTTTAATGCTTCCTGGCCTGACTTGACTTCTTCATGTTGGCTTTGTTATGACTCAGCCCCTCCCTTCTACAAGGGGATTGCAGCCTTGGTAATGTGTCCACCTCTATGGAGGACAGTGGCTGTCGATGGCAGCAAAAGGCCAAATTAACCCTACAACAAATATCAGGGCAAGGTCTATGCATTGGAACTGTACCCGAGTCCCATGCACGACTCTGCGCTCACAACATGACCCTTAGCCCTAGCATGTCCCGTTCCTATATACTCCCTCCCGCGGACGCGTGGTGGGCATGCTCTACGGGCCTGTCCCCTTGTATCCATGCAACGGTCCTGAATCAAACCGGTGACTTCTGCATTCTTGTACGATTGGTACCCAAACTAGTCTATCATTCATATGATAGCTTCCTTGATTCTATGGAAAAAATTGCTGGGCCCACCTCCGGATGGGTCAAAAGGGGACCAGTAGCTCTCCTCACTCTCAGTGTAATTATGGGTGCCAGCTTAGTAGGGGCAGGCACTGGAACTGCCTCCTTAATTTACCAGAATCAACAATACTCCAGCCTGCGGGCGGCTATTGACATAGATATTGAAAGACTGGAAGTCTCCATTGCACACATGCAGGAATCCCTATCCTCCCTAGCTGAGGTAGCGTTACAAAACCGCCGAGGACTGGACCTTATTCTCTTACAGCAGGATGGGCTGTGTGCGACTTTAGGAGAAGAGTGCTGTTTTTATGTTGACCATTTGGGGGTCATTAGAGAATCCCTTGCCAAAGTAAGAGAGGGTTTAGCTAAATGAAAAAGAGAATGGGAGGCTCAATAGGGATGGCTTGAATCTTGGTTTAACACCTCTCCGTGGCTGACGACCCTGTCGTCAGCCATTGCGGGACCTTTAGTTTTGCTCTTGCTAATGCTTACATTTGGCCCTTGTATACTCAATTGCTTGCTTGCTTTTGTTCGCAATAGGCTCGAGGTGGTTCAAACTCTTGTACTTAGACAACAATACCAGCCGCTGCAACCCGTGCAAGCTCCAAACATGTATTTGGGACCTTAAAATGGTGTTTTAGAAAAAGGGGGGAATGTAAGGTAGAGCATAACAGCAGCCATTTTTAGAATATAGCAGCCATTTTAAGAGCATAGCTGACAGAGAGGTTGCAATTCCTGGAACCCAGATTCTAAGAATTGCCATCTGTAACTGTCAGATGACCCTGACAGTTGGTTCTAAGAACCGGCATCTGTAACTGTCAGATGACCCTAAAGAACCCATTCTAAATGCCTATATAAACTGCTTAATTTTGAAGTTCGGGGTCCAACCCTGTCTGGGCATGGCCACTGTGTCAGTTCCACTCCAGGGGTTCGGACCCTAGCTCGAGCTAGCTAATAAAGGCCACTTTTGCTTTTGCATCGAACTTGGGTCTTGGTCGTTCTTGGACTCGACACCAATGTGCTCTAACACTGCCATCTGCCGGATCAAGACAAAACATGTAAGACCTTTAATGGAAAGGAACTTAAGTACATTTAGTGTGCACTACAGAAAAGACAGAAAAAATAGTTTTAAAATCAAGCACCCAAAGTTACCCATCCCCTCTTGGGTAATGTCCAGCCAAACAGGATTGGCCCGAATCAAGGCCTGAAAGCCTGCCCCAAACCTAAAGCACCTTCCAGTGGGGACCCATAAAAAAGGGTCAGAAGCAGTCAAACAAGTCTGGGAGGAAAAGAGCAAAATCAAAACCAACATAAAAGCTGCCATTGTTAATCTCCCCCTGGGTCTCTCACCCACATCTGTTTGAAACAGTCCAGGACGGAGAAGCAAGCACAGTTTCTTCACATGTCTCTCTGCTCCTTCTGCCACCCCCAGGTCTCCTTCTGGCTCTCCATCCTTCCTTCCTTCCTTCCCCAGTCTCCTCTCCAGCTTCTTTTCCTCCCTACTCAGCTCCGGCCTCCTTTGGGTGGGGCAGGGACCCTAGAACCTTCCCTTTTCCTGGGGACTACCCTGTTACAAGAGGAGGGGATGAGTTCTACAGAAAGAAGTGATGTCAATTATTTCTCAATAAAACTGGGGGGAAGAATTTTCCTTTAAATTCCGATAATAGGGTCTGATGCTCTACATCTGTCTTTTCAAATCTCAGTGTAATTATGCCTTTACTGAAAGTGATGTCATTTTTTGGAGTTGTTGGGTTCAGAGAGTGGGGTCCTTGGCTTCACTCTGGGAAAGTTTCGCCATAGCTCCCCTTTCACCAGCACCGGCAAGTTCCCAGGCGAGTTCTCTGCACACAGAGATTTTAGTTATATCCAAAAGGGCAGGTTTATTAAAAAGGGGAGAGAAGAAGAAAGGACACTGGCATAGACACAAACAGGCAGAAAGGGCTGCCTTGATAGGGACAGGTTTGCTGAGAGAGGCCTGGATGGTTGCAGGCAGGCGGCCTTGAGGAGAGCTGCCTCTGCTAAGAGAGGTCAGTGAAGAGAAGCCCCAGCCTGGTACAGGTCACGGACAGGCAGGAAGCTGCTGCCCTATGGAGGGACAGAGTAGGCGCAAAGGAGCACCTGCATAGGAACAGGTAGGTAGAAGGACTGCTGCCCTGCCAGTGAGGAGACTACACTGATAAAGTCTTCTTTTCTTCCGGAGGGGCTCACTCATTCTTGGAGTGGTTTGTTGTTGACTTTGAATAAACTATGTAGAATTTGAAAGGGGCCCTTAATCTCCATATCTTCACCTTCAGGTCTGTGCCCAAGACCCTCCCTACAGCAGTCTGCTACTTGGTTGGGTCTTGGGCTTTGTGATCTAGGATCTTAGTTCCTATAGCTAGGTTAATGGCTATGTAAATCCCTTCTACCCTCACAATGCTCTTGGCATCATGTGAGCTAGGTTTCTGATCTTGTGGGGCCTCCTTTCCAGTTTTTCTGTCCTTATCCTCCATCAAAAGCAAAGATGTCTGCTAACTTAGTCTTAATTTTATGAGGAATTCCAGAGCTGGAGGTCATGCCTCAGGGTCTTTGTTCTTTTCCTCCATTGAAGTTTCATTTGTTGGGCAGGGGAAAGCATCAGAGTTCCTTGACATTTCCTAAATGCCAAAATCACTGACGTGCAGTTCCCTGTCCTTAATGTCACCAAGGTGATGACAGTTTTAATCTCAGCAAACTGATCTCTTACTAGGATCAGCTCAAGGGCAAATGGGCCACCACACAAAAAAGGAAAGGAATGTAGAAAAGAGTTTGTTCAAGCCTGTGACCAGAGGTGCAGCCCACCCCATTCCTTAGCTGTAAAAGATGAGTGAGGGTGGCGGGGATGCAGAGGAGGAAGGGATCACTTAGAACAACGCTTCTCTATCTTTCCAGAGCACTAAGTGCTAATATTTTGAAAATACGGATGCCCATTGCATTGTCATAGATTCTGATTTAAATGTTCTAGAATCAAAAACAATAGATGTCTTAAAGAATGTGTAATTTCACAGGACCATTGAGTCCTAGGGCAAGTTAGGGATAATTAGCTGCAGGGACAGTGCAGGCAGGGACTTCAGGAGAGTTAAGGAAGGATCCAGAGATAAGGGCAACAAATTCCAAAGGGGACTAGGGCCAACAGGACATTAGCAACAAGGATGATAAAGAAAAGTATGCTAAGATAAGGGCTGGGACACAGAAACTTAGTTCTGGCAAAGAGACATTTAGGCAGTGAGTGAGACTGTTAGGGGGAAAAGGATGTCCTAAAGCTAATTCCATACAGGCTTTGTGGACTCCACCCCCACCCCAGGCCAAAGCCAAAGACACTGGGAACTCCAAATCCCATCACCACCAAAGGGAAGGTGGCTGGGACCTGAGGGTGGGGTTAAGCAGCCAGGTTGGTATAAAGCCAGACACATGGGCTTTGGAGGGGTCCCCCATTTTGGCTCTCCGCCAGCTCTGAGAGTGCCTTTGGGTTTCCAGGTCGGCGGATCGGGTAGGACACATTAAAGACTTTATTTCCCTATTTTCTCCCTGAGTTGTACATTTCCTTATTTCCTTTTCCCTTGTAAATAAACCTTTTATTAACTTTTTGTGTGTGCCTGTAGTGGAGTATTAGTAAGTCCCTTTTAAGCGCGCTGGTGAGGACCCACAGCCAGGAACCTGTTCAATATCGGGGCTGCCCTGTAACAAGACCACCGAGAACTACCCAATCACAAAGAGACTGGTGGAGCTTTAGAATAATTAGGGAAAGGAGGAGTATATTCCCTGAGACAGTGTTACAGGGCAGGGAGAGGGGCAGCCCAAACCCTGCAAAACTGCCTCTTCTAAATGGGTTCTGCCATCCACCGCATCAGCACAAAACATAGGAGACTTTAATGGGAAGGAACTTTAATACAATTAGGAAACAATACAGGAAAGGCAAAGAATCTAGTTTCTAAATCAAGCACCCAAAGTTACCCGTCCCCTCGTGGGTAAAAGTCCATCCAAATGGGATCGGCCCAGAGCAAGGCCCCAAAGCCTGCCACAGGTCTAAAGCATCTTCCAGTGGGGACCCACAGAAAATGGTCAGAAACAACCAGACAAGCCCGGAAGGAAAAGAGCAAAATCAAAATCAAGGTAAAAGCTGCCATTGTCACCTCCCCATGGGTCTCACCCACATCTGTGTCACCCCGTCCACGACCAAAAGACAAGCGCAGTTTCTTCACGTGTCTCTCGGCTCCATGTTCATCCTCCAGGTCTCCTTCTGGCTCCATCCTGCTTCCTTCCTTCTCAGTCTCCTCTGCAGCTTCTTCTCTCCCTGCTCAGCTCCACCCTCCATTTGGGTGGGGCAGGGAACCTGGAACCTCCCCCTTCCCTGGGGACCACCCTGTTACAACAGGACTCCACTTCTGCATCCTTGCCCCTCCCTGGCCTGGTTCTATGGTCTGGGAGTCCCACTTTATTTCTGTTCCTTTTCTCCTTAATAAACTTTTTCTTTCTCTAAACACATTTGCCTCTTCTTGCTTGCTTACCTGAGCGTCAGCGAAGTTCCTGCTGCGGCTTCGTGAGACGCCAGCCTGTGGTGGTCTAGTGGCTGGGACTCAATACTGCCCCGGCAGCCTGGGGTCCATTCTGGCTTGGAGACTAGACCTGAAGACCTGAAATTACACTAGTTCAGTCTCAGGAAGCCATTGCTGATGAGTCAATGCAGGGGCTCAAGCATATTGTCCCTGCTTAACACAAGCTCGCCCATAGTGATGACTCACAGTTACTGAGAAGATGGTAGAGCCTCAGCTTCCATCACCTCTCAGAATTTCAAACTAAACTGTCTGGGTTCCCCACCCACAGGGGAAATGTGACTAATTTGCATCCATTATGCTGAGCTACCAGAAAGACAATTCACAGGCCTTGCATCAAGGTGGATCTTTCTTTCACCTTTCTTTCCTCCCAACTGTGATTTTGACTTTGGTCACCAGATGTCACAAGTAGCCAGATGGCTGAAGAGGAATCTCTGGCAATACACCTGAGCAATCCCTCATGAGAGCTCGTGTTTAAACTTCCTCTTCTTGGTTTTCTGTAGATTCTCACATTCACTTACTTCCCCATAACATACACAAAAAAATACTTTATATCTGCATCTATTTGGTGCTTAATGGGGAATGTTCCCCAGGGACAGGTTTGGATTATTTTTTCTGTAGGGGCCAGATTCACAGATGTTGGCACTCACTAGTCTCATCTCCAAACCTCCCCACTCATCACTCCCTTCACTTCAAGGATCAAAGGCAGACCAGACACCAGCCCATCTCCCCAGAAGGAACTCCCCAGATTCTTCTATGTGGAGTTATCTACCTGTGTGAACTTCCACCATACTCCTGGCCTGAGCAAGTGCTCCCCAACAAGCACCTTCAGGGGCTATATGTGAGACTTATTCTTGCAATCAGACAGCGCTCCACCCCGCCCTATCGAAAGAGGGAAAATACTTTTGGTTCTTTCTTGGTCTTTGAGAACAGAGGTGTTTTAGAGTTATAGCCTCCTTTTTGGTTTCTGCTATTCTCAAACTTCTGGAAGGGGTGTGTGTGTGTGTGTGTGTGTGTGTGTGTGTGTGTGTGCGTGTGTAGCACGAATGTGTCCAATTCAGGAGTGCTCAGTCTGGGCACCAAGTGAGAGTGAAAGGAGGATGAGGGGTCAGAAGAAGGGGCAGTGAATTGAGGTAGAACCCCTGCTGGGCTGGACCACCTTTCCAGGTCACATTCCAGGTGTGGATTCTGCTCCAAAGAGTAAGGTGAGACACACTGTCAGGTAAACCCTACCAGAAGTTCACTTCAATCCTCTGAGCCAAGCACTGCATTGGCTCATTTCCTCTGAATCAGATAAACATATCAGCAGTCAGAATTCATCTCCCCAAGATCACTCAATTCCCCGAGATGAGTTTCCTAGCTTGAGAGTGTTGCTTCCAGAGCCCAATGGTGATTAAAAGACCACCGAGCAGTCAGGTTTTGAAGAACAAAAAGTGAAAAGGCAGTTACCCAAACATGAACTGTCATTCCTTTAGGAGAGTCTCCTGTGTGTGAATGTTGGGGGGGGGGGGAGGTGGGCAGGAGGCACCCAGCTCTAAGTCCTAGGTGGCTCTGCAGGAAGGCAGGTTCTTTTGTCTTGAGCCACAAGTTCCCAAGGACAACAAAATGTATGTTTTCAGATTGACCACTGCACACCATGCTTTTTCCCTACCCATTTCCATCACCTCACTCTCATGCTGAAGATGATGGCTCTATCTTCAGGGAGAACATCTGAGGCTCAGTGAGGTTCAAGTAGCAGAAAGAAAGTAGCCAGTGAGTGGCTCAGCAGAGTGCCCTGTGACTACGCTTGCCTCTCATCTTTAACACGGGGAATGGAAAGGGTATTAAATCTATCTTCTTCTACTCATCTCCCCTGCTCCCTCCCTACAGGGGCAGGAACCAATTCAGTGTCAGGTTGGAGATTCAATGTCACTGGAAATCAAAGAAATATACATTAGAATTATAAGCTACCAACTCCCCTCATCTAATTAATAGAAGATTCACACACACACACACATACACACACTCACACAGAATGCAAAATAGCATGGAACATCTCTTCTGAAGGGCAATTTGACATAATGTATCAAAGCATTAAACATATCCATTCTCTTTTAATTCAATAATTACCCCCCAAAAGGAAATAGAGATGTTATCAGATTATATGTTCCATCTCAGCCCATGTCTAACAATAGAGGAATAGTTAAGTGTTATGGAATGACAATTAAAAATCTTACTTATGCAGATTTCCTTAAGTTTTTTAATGAAAAATTGCATACAAATAGAAAACTATAAAAAAGTAGTATAATGATCCATCATATACCCACTAACCAGCATCAACAGTTATCAGTTTATAGCTAATTGTGTCGCATCAATACCTATTCAGTATCCACCTTAAGTATTTTAAGCAAATCCCAGACATCATACCACTGTATCCATAAGTGCATCAGTCTATATATCTAAAAGGTACTCTTTAGACAATAAAATCAAATTACCACTGTCTTTATTTTTCAGCAGTTTAATTATGATGTGATTCAGTAGTTGTTGTTGAGTTTATCCTGTTTAAGTTTCACTAAAATTCTTTAATTTGTAAATTTACATATTTCACCAAATTTGGGACATTTTCAACAATCCTGTTTTCTTTCTCTTTTTTTCCCATCTGGAGACCCAAATGGAGATTGCAAACATGAATTTTCAATTTTTTGATGTTGTTCCACAGTACCCTATAACATCATTTTTTCAATAAAAAAGTGTATTTACAAATATACTATGCAAAATATTCTATAATTTCTATTGTTCTATCTTCAAGTTTCTCCCTGTCATCTCTATTCTACTACTGAGTCCATGCAATGAATTCATTACTTCAGATCATGACCTTAAAATTTACCTCTGATTATATTATATATGTTTTATATTTATACTGAGAACTCCTGTATTTTCTTTCACTTCAAGAGTGAATGAAGGGCCTCCCCAATGGCGCAGCGGTTGAGCGCTGGGATGAGAAGCTGCCCGCAGCCTCTGCAGCACTGGTTCGATCCCTGGCCTCTGGGCGAGAGTCCCACATGGCGCACAGACCTCTCCTGCCGCCCGCTGCTCCCCTCAGCAGTGTACCTCGTCAGTCTATCTGTTCTGCTCCCCGCTCTGGCTCTGTTGAATTCTCTCACCCTCCCGCACTTCTGATTGTACCCAGTGCTTGTACAAATAAATAAATAAATCTTTAAAAAAAAAAAGAGAGTGAATGAAAGTACAAAGTGCAAAGTTTACAATCTGAATCATCTCAGGGTTAGCACCTATTGATTGTCTTTTCCCTTGGATATTGTCCAAATATTCCCATTTCTTTTTATATTAAATAAATCTGGATGGTATCCCAAACTTTTGAGTTAATATTATGTTGAGACACTGGATCCTGCTAAATATTTTGGGGAGGGGAGGGGGTACTGCTGACTTTTCTTTGTTTTAGAACCCACTCAGGTTCAGACTGAAAGTTCTGTATCAACTTTTGTGACTGGTAGCTCCAATATCAGTTTAGTTCACTACATTTCAAAGTTCGCTTGTGGTTGATTTTTGTATTCTATTCAGCTTTTAGTTATAAATAACAGTAGAGAGAAGTTGCATTGAATTACTTCATCTTGCCTAGCACTGCCCCCTTCCTTCTCAGCAATTTTTCTTCTCAAAACTACACGCAACTCTCAAGGCTCCACCATAATACCACTTTTTTTCCAAAAAAGCCATCCTTCTCCCTGCTAGAAAAAAAGTCTTCTCCCTTTGAACTAGGGACAATTCAGATTTAGCAATATTGAAATTAAGCCTAAGCGCAAATCTCTTCATGACTATTTTTGTTTAAACCTCTTTTGTTTAAGGCTTAAATGAAATCAAACTAACCAAGAAGCATCATGGTGGTTAGAAAGAGTGAACTTTACACACACACACACACACACACACACACACACACAAAAGTTAACTTCATCTAAACCTCAGCTTTGATAATTGGTGGATATGTGGCCTTAGGCAGTCACTATTTACCTCAGAGTCCTCATCTGTGAAAAGAAACAGTAATTATCACATAGAATTGCTGTGAAGATTAAATGAGCTGATTATAGGTTGGAAAGCACCTAGAAAAATGCCATGTTGTGGTAGTGATTATTATCAATCTGTCACAAGTTATCACAACTTTATTCTGCAGATGAGGGAACTCCATAAAAAAGAATGAGCAGAAAGCTAATCACACATTTTGGTTTTGGTAAATACTTGGAAGAGCTGTGTGTGTGTGTGTGTGTGTGTGTGTGTGTGTGTGTGTGTGTGTGTGTGTGTGTGTGTGTGTGTGTCTTCAGACAAGCCATGTGGTAGAGGGGGAGGATATGGGTCTGGAGGTTGGCCTCTATAGAACTACCTACACAGAACTAGACAGAAGAATTTTATAAAAGGCAAATGGAACAGGGTCATTTTTCAATTTACCCTCCAAGCCCTTCCTGATACACAGATATAAATACAGAATTGACTCTATATTGCTTGGGCAGTGCCATAAGACCTTTTGTGATTTTTGCTTCTTCTGCTCCCTTTGATTTCATCTCCTGCCACTCCTGCCTAAGCCCCAATTTCCAGCTGTACTTACCCAACTAATGGGCCCCATCACATCTCATCATTTCCCATTTGCACCACTGCTCTTGTTCTTGAGCTCAAATATTCCTAACATCTTGTTAAATATGTAAATACCTCCTCTGCCATGCAAACTGCTCAAGGATTTCCATGAGGCTTTCTCAGACTTTCTAGGACCCTATGGGCAGTCCTTGCCTTCCTCCCTTACGTCCCATGGTCCATGGTTCTCTGATGGCACCATTAGTAACACTTACTAGTGGGTGATAGTCACTTACTTTATAGATCACTCTCTCCCCCACTATACCAATTTAGAAAATCATCACCATCTTTAAAAAAATGACTTTTTTTTTTTAATTTTTTTTTTTTATTAATAGAGGCATGTTTTATTTATTTATTTGTTTGTTTGTTTTGTTTATACATGCACTGGGTACAGTCAGAAGCGCGGGAGGGTGAGAGAATTCACCAGAGCCAGAGCGGGGAGCAGAGCAGGCAGAAGGGCCGAAGTA